GAAAGAATGTAAATTAAGTCACAAAATAAAAAAGAAAAGTTTCAGAAAAAAAAAAATCCATTCGATGACCGCAGTTGAGATATATAGCCCCAGCTAGGTGATACTTTATAGGATGCCTAAAGTTAGACTTGTGTTCATGGAAATGTATATATCAGCTGTGTTTGCTATGAAAACATTTAGATTAATTAAGATCTTTAGTAATTCAATAAAAAATGGGGGGGAAACAGTATAGAAAGTAAACATAGATACCAGAGACAGTGTGGGAAGATAGTGGGAGATGGCTGAGGATAAGAGATAGAGAATCAAGGATTGGGGTGGGGGAAGCAAAACATACAGGAAACAAGAAATGGAAAATTATTTGTTGACAATAACATGTATGTTGATGTGCTTGATTGAGACAATATACAGTGTACTCTGGATGGAAAATCTCATTTTGTATGCTGTAATGATGTACAGTGAATGAACGTAAACAAATAAATTTAAAAAAAAATAAAAGAATTTACCCAACATTAAAAAAAAGATACTTAATACATATTCTACAGATTATGCCGAAGTATGCGGAATGTAGGTATTAGACAGCCACCGCAATTTAATATGCATTAACCAACATAAATCTGCAAGTGTTAGTGAGTGAGTGAGAATCTAACCTATGCTTGGAGGTTATTTTTCCTTCTATAGCTTGCTAATCCTAAAAAGGTAACACATCTCTCAAATCTCTAACTTCTTAAAAGATCATCAAAGCCATGTTTATGATTCAAAGATCTGATTCAAAGACAATTCCAAAGCAGTAGTTTTGGAGGGTGGGTGATGGGTCACCAATTACTTTGAGAGTCTGACAAAAGTTACAAATTCTCCTAAGAAAAAAAAATAGCACAACAATATATGTAATTATTATCACTGTCACTGGGTTTATGGCAGCTCATAGGCCCCGCAAAGGACTGCCTCCTGGCCATCTTAAGTTCCTGGATCCCATAGGACAGCCTCTCAAAATTTATCCAGAAAGTAGAAGAGCACAGAAAAGGAGAGGAAGAAAGCAGAATGAGAGGGAAAAGTCATGGAGAACAAGCAGTGAAAGTTAGAACAGAAAGGAAATCTGGTTTTAGACATGTTTGCAAGGTCTGGCCGAATTGTCAAGTTCTTATAACCTGGAACCAGGTTCTAGCAATATAATAAATGCATGAATAAGTGTCTGCAACGGTTCCCAAGCTACATTTAAAGCTTTCTTGAATCAGACTGGACTCCATATAGGTTTTTGAAATTTAAAAAAAATGCACAAACAAGTCAATAAGTATCAATCAATGACCACGGATTTTTCAAACGGATAAAGA